GAACAACCCTTATATGCCGGCCTCTCCCAGGAAGTGAATGCCGTTAATAATGAGGTGCACATCCGAGACTACTGCTGGTAGATGACTGCTAACAGACTCGCTTATCTGTGGCGTCTATCTGGTTAACAGGCTGTCCACCTTCTGAGTCCAGATAGGATCAACTTTTTCACAGGTTGCTCTGTGAACTTTAACTTGGCCACAGGCCCTTGATTAACTTTCCACAGCAGCAGATGTACAGCTATCGTTCTATCCCCTACTGGTTGACATTTCAGTTTGCAGTTTCTCTTTTTCTAAAAAGGCAAAATCTACTATTCTGTTTCCTTGACCCTTAGCACGCATGCTACCCAAACTGAGAACTCGCCGTCACATCTGTAAAGAATCTCAGTGGGTTCAACTCAGAACCCTAACTGGATGAAACACAGCAAGTCAAGTATTAGAAAAGTCAGCCCCCAGCAGAGTCCACATGCTATTATACTTGCATTTTTATGAAGAGCAAAGTACATTGCTGGTGTACTTCTTATTTACTTTGATTTTTTTTAGAGAAAGAGGAAGGGGGAGAAGAGAGAGAAAGATCAATGTGAGAAACATCAAGTGGATGCCTCTGGTATGCACCCCAATGGGGGAACTGAACCTGCAGCCTTTCGGGTACGGGGTGACGCTCCAACCAACTGAACCGCCCGTCCACGGCTGTAGACTCTTTTTTTGTTTTTTTTTAAGGAGAGGGTTACTTACGTACGTTTTAAGAAATTAAAAAATGTACTTTGATGGGAACATTATATTAATTTACAGTTCTTTTGCTAGAAATGCTACTTGTGGGATAACGACCAGGAAGTACGTGTTGCTCTTTGACCTTCGCTAACACTGGACGCGCTCTCTCTAACTCTGCGTTAGAGGAGGAGGGCACGCAGAGGAACGGAGCCATGTCACGCAGGCTGAGAGAGCTGACACCTCTTGGGAAGCCAGGACGCTGACGGGACAGCTCACGGATAAAGGGCACCTTAGAGAGAGCGGGGCAACGTATGGGGGCCGCGTGCAGCGGCGGGCTGTCACTCAGCCCGAGGGAGGGCGCCCGGGCAGATGGCGGCTCAACTGTTCCTCCCGCTCTGCCCCCCACCCGCACCCACACAGACCCAGCAAGTGCGGGCAGCTGGCATTACCGTCCGGCACAAGTAAACAGACCCCTGGCAGCTCTTCCCTAAAGACAGTAAACAAGCCACATTGGTGAATCCAACGTTTTTTCGCCATCGACTGGATGACTCACAGTCAGGCTGTCATTCTGGCAATCAGACCTCGGCCTAAAAATGAGCTCTCCCTCACCTCCCCCACCTCGCGTCCGGGGCACCCAGTCAGGACTGGCACTAGGGAGATGACACCCAGGTCCCACGGACCTCCTTTCTTAAATAACACCCAAGATCAAGGGATTAGCAGATCCAGCAGTCTGAAAGAAAAGGACCAAGATACACACACGTAAAAACAATCTGCTGGAGACGAAGATAATCAGGGAATGGAAGAAAAATTGACTCCAAGATATTAAAGAATTTTCAAAACCAGAAGAGGCTGATTTGAAAAAAAGAATCAGAAAACAATCAGAGAAGCGATTATAGATTTCAAATAGGGTAACAGAAACAAAATTTTCAAAAGGTGAATCATAAGATAGTGAAAATCCACCAGAGTACAGGATACATGGAGAGAAAGTGTGAAAGAACAGATAAACCCCAAAGTCCGGAGTTCCCCCAATGGCGGCCCAGGAAAGAGGAAGGGCTGGGAGTAGGGGAAGGACAGATGAACCCCGCCCCGCCCCAGCTCAGGGCAGCACTGATGGGGGCCCCTGGTCTTCCCCTCCCAACGCTGGAGGTGGTATACTCAGGAAAGGGGGTTGGGGACCAGAAAATGACAAGTCACTACCACTTTGTTCCTGTGACCTGATGACACTGAGGAAGCCAGGACCACAGAGCCGGGACCACAGAATGTCTGTTCCACTGGCAATCTAGGGACAACCCACCCAAGTCACCATGAGGAATGCTGACATCAGGGTGGAGGGACAGAGCCCGGCACTAATGACCTGCCTCTGGGCCACCATCAGTCCTCCTCATGGGGTCCAGCTGTTCAACTGCTTCAGGCTGCACCAGCTCCCCAGGCCCCTGTCCTATTTACAAGGACATTGGGACTTTTCCCAGTGCCTTGGGCGAGTGCTTGGCTGGCCGACAGCGCCTTCTCCAAAACACCCCTCCAGTCGGCATCTGTGGACTCTCAGCACCGCATAGACGCCACGGGGTCTGGTCAGGACAGACTGCCGTGAGAGATTTCTGACCAGTGGGAAATGACGGGGTTCACCACCCCAGACAACTGGAACCTGGTCTGGTGAGAGAGAGCAGCGAGACAGCCCTCATGCTTCCAGCTGGAGAAAAGGGCCATGAACCTCCATAAATTGAAAAGGACAGGGTTTAAAATGTCACAAAAGAGGAAGTGTAAGACAAAAGGTTCCAAAGAGTGGTTTTCCACCACTGAGAACTGTGACACAGGCAAAGGTAAATTTGCTGGCACCACTCAGACTTCACAGGAAGGGGAGCAGTCATGGCTGAGCGCTCAAAGGGGAGGCCGTGGTAAGAAGGCTCAGGATGGGACAAGTCACCAAGTGTGATGCTCGCAGCAGAAGTGCTCTCCCCGCCAAAGACCTGTGTGAGTTTCCCACATAGAACAGATGTAAAATACGGAGTGTATGTGTGCGAATAAATCTTAAAAGTGTGGGATCACCGTAGAAGGAACAGAAAGGTGGATCAGGCTGAAATACTGACATGGGGGGGGGGGGGTCTCTAAGCCAAAATTCTGAATTTGATGTTTAACTGTATGGGGTAGGAAGGGATCTAATAGCCTGGCCGGTCAGCTGACCCACGGACTCAGTTTTCGACCACACTATGGAGCTGAAACCTGCCATGGTCTGTTACAAAGAGCTACTACCTCCATGTGCTAAAAGACAGGCACCCAGAAGCTTAGGGATACTGTTACATTCCTGCTCTTACCCCATCACCTCTATTGTAAGATGCATTCATCACAGTGAACTTTCTATCAAAGAATCTAACTTACAGGGTCAGAGACAAGGAGGTGACCCTCACTCCTGTGGGTCTGGCCAGTGTGCTCCTGATGGCATGAAGGACAGCCACAGCACGCAGTGGAGGTTTGCTTTTGTCACTGCTTCCGAGCGTCAGGAGAGTGGGAGAAGGAGGGCAGCAAGACAAGGAGTAGACTGTGCTCTGTGTGTGACTTACTAGGCTCCAGTCCCAGTGTGAACTACTGACCCAGGAACTATTAGGATGACATTTTGTAGACAGGACAGTGTATAACCGGGCTTCCGGTCTCAGCTCTGACCTGGGAACAGTTCGGAAGCCCTCACTCCCACCCTTACAGGAAAAGGGTTAAAGAAACTGAAAAATCAAAGACTCTGCTGGGCCCTCTCAAAGCCCTGAGGCTGTGCGGCAAAGTGCCACCCTAAAATCTGGAGAGGTGCGAATGCAGAGCGTCCTGGAAACAGTGCTTACCTGGGGCAGGGACCTCGGGACCGCACACAGGCGGGAACGCTTCCATGTCACTCCCCCCAGACGCCGGACGCTACCCGGCTGCCGTGAGCACGGGGACTCCGGGGCCTGCAGCCTTGGCGGGCAGAGGTGCACCCTTCCTGGGCACTCCTAGAATCCTACCAGCTTCTCAAGGTTAAAAACCAAGAAAAAACCCCCTCCTAGCTCTGGCAGAGAGAAGACAGAAATAACCATCTTGCAATATACCCAGACCTTTCTCCAGAACAAAGTCCTACTCCCCATAGGAAAAGCTTTTCCCAGTCTTATTCACCTAGAGGGAAAGAAATTGGTTAAATAAGTTACATCACAAGCAGGGGAAGCTAATTTTTCCCTCTGCCAAAGAACTTTTAAAATAAGCCAATGATTTAACATGAGCATCTGAAATAAATTACTTTTCTACACGGCAAGCTCCAGCCTGGTTGCCGTCTACTCCCTTACCCAACGACTATTTTAACTTAACTCTCCTCTATGGGTCCTTCAGCTTCAAAGGGACAGACTCTGATACCAACATTCCTTAAAGAGACGCCTATTCAATAAGCTGTTCTTGCTTTCTCTGAGGGCATATATCTGTTCACAGCATTTCTAGATTATTAACTATTTTTGTGATTTTTTTCAAAATGAAATGGTTTTCTTGGCTTCAAAGATAAAACCATATTAGCATTATCAACAGGGCTTTAAAATACACACAAACCCTGGTTGGGTGGCTCGGCTGGCTGGAGCACCGCCCTGTACACCAGAAGGTTGTGGGTTCCATACCCAGTCAGGGCAGGTATCTAGGCTGCAGGTTCAAAACCCCTGGCTGGGTTTTGTGCGAGAGGCATCAGATTCATGTTTCTCTCTTAAATCGATGTTTCTCTCTCTCCCTTCCTCTCTCTCTAAAATCAATACACACATCCTCAAGTGAGGATTTAAATATTAAAAATAAACAAATAAATAAAATGCATACAAGAAAACTGTTCTAGTACCTAAAGGTAAATATGGGATGACGGAAAAAGAATTCTTAGGAAAACTGTACCTCCGACCTAGAATATCTCTTCAGCGCCCTCTGCTGGCTACCACTTAAATAAAGTAGGAGGAAAAAAGTAAACCTTTTCTTTAGGGAGATGCTTGGGAGATGCAGGACCAAGGGGACAATGCTATTGTTACAACCAGAAAGGAAATTCTCTTAAGGTGAGTCTGATGACTGAATACCTTCCCTAGTTAGGCTTAAGGACATCCAAATAGATTTGGCCATGGGTGGCAGGTTTAAAGTAAGGGAAGTTCTTTGTCAAGTCTGAATATTAAATTGATATACAAACTACAAAAGCTTTTAATATAAAATAAAACAACTATATAAAGGGTTATCACTTAACACTACAAAAATTGAGAATTTAAATGTTTCACAAACCTCACTACAAGAATAAGTCTGTAACACACTTATTTAATCTATTAGTTTCAATATTAAGGTTTATTTTTTCTTCCAGAGTGAGGTTAACAATTTAAATATCAGGATGTATAAATGAACAGCCACTCAGATAAAACACTGCTGCTTAAAAGTGGCTGAGACGTATTCTGCACGTAATAAATATAATGTCTAGGTTAACAGGCACCGTCTTGAGAGCAGAAAAGTGTTTTTTCATAACCAATAAATAAATTACATTCAAGAAAACAGGTGTTTATATCTGAAGTATCATATATCCTTAAATGTTTTTCTTAATATAGCACCCAAACTTCCAAACTGTCTAGAAAGTATCTCCCAAAATATAAGTCATACCTTAAGTCATAAAAATAAAGGCCAAGAAAAAATCAATTTAAGACAAAATTTACAATTTATATTAATTCCCCATTCAATAAAATATCAAGTGCCAATTTGTTAAAAGTAACTGAACTGTACATATGTAATCCATTAGTACTGAAAATCTGAAATATATACTTTAAAAAATCATTCTTTCTCAAAGTACTTAAAATATTGCATCTCTGGTGGCAAACCTGAAAATCACCAAGCATTTTATTTCCCGTTTTCATACTTCTGCTCCCGTCCCTACCCCTTTAAACCTTTAACAGTCATCCAGCTTTTTTTCTTTTTGGTAAATACACTTACTTATATCCCAAACACAAAACACTGACAAGGCTCCTTGGCACTCAAGGAGCTCCCGGACAGTCCGAGCCTACAGCTTCGCGCCCAGAGGGTGGCCCAGGCTCAGTGACGGGGCCGTCACCGGCCCTCACTGGTGCTGGCAGAGGCTCCCGAGAGTCCACAGCTGTCTGACTGCTGATGCAATCCTGAAGAAAGTCCCAACACATTCTGCAGACAAATATTAGAGAATAAGTCTTTGATTGATAATTTTTCTATTTATTTCTGCCAAGGCGACTGAAAACACGAAAGCCTTTTCATCAGAGAGGTTAGCATAGATGTCAATTTCCTTTTCCTGTTTTTCTGTTAAAAGAAAAAGGGAAAATTTAATAAAAAGGCAGCAGATGCAGTATTTTTGTCTAAAAATTTAAAGCTTTCAAGTATTTCTTTAAATGACAATCTCATACAAAATACTACAGCATATACTAAATGTTACAAAGTATTACACTACTGAACCAAAATTTTTTAAAATATAACAAAGGGGTTATTGAAATGTCATGAACTGCATTCTACATTCTAAAGACTAAAGTGAAGACTATATATATTTTTCTACATACCATCTACTTTCTACATCACTGCTGTAAGAATCTCAAACAGAATCTTTCTCTTCACTAGTACGAGCCCATCAAAATGTCTCAATCAAAATGGATTTTTCTCACCCCAAACACATTCCCTCCAAACGTCAATGGCGCCTTTATGACTCTATTAACTTCTTCACCTCAGCCTTGCTATGGAATTTAAGAGTAACTGATATTTACTTCTATTTTTCCCCTCCTGGTTCCAAATGTACTCCAAGTTCATGGTAGAAAAAATTTTAAATACAGAGAAGCAAAACAGAAATCACCATTTCATAAACCAGCTAAAATCACAATGAACATCTCTGTGTACGTTCTTCCAAACTTTTGCTCTACCACGGTCCTGCTTCTGTCTGCTTGCTGTTGGTGGTGGAGGTGTTTTGCTTTTCATCCAAGTTAAGCACCGATGTAGCTTACAGTCACATCGCTTTTTCAAAACTGGTTACCAAAACCAGAGTCCTCCCCCACGCACGTTTCCCACTCACAGATGCAACCACATTTTTTTGTTGTTTCCTTTTGTTTTTACCTATCTCTAGGCAACATTTTTACATGATTCTACTTCTTGGTTTCCTGGTTTTAGGCACTATTAATCGACTTTCCACAGTGGAAAATTAGAATTGTATTGTTTTCCATCTTGCCTCCACCACACATTTCTCTTGCAGCTTCCCGTTGTAGTTATATCACAATTATGGTGACATTACTCTCCAGTGTTTACATTATCCTAACTATGAAAATGACTTCATTTTTCATGCACATTGTCTTCCCTGAAAAGATTCTTTTTTTACATCTGCTTAGTTTTCACTATTAATTGAACCCCAACTCTCTCCTAGTTGTATAAAACCTTCAGAATGTTTATAGGCATTAGGTATTGTATCAGATTTATCTTCCAGAAGAAGTATCTCCAATCTTCTGATCCGCTCCAACCCGAAATGCCAGCTTCCTAGGCTTCCTGCACAATCACCATCCTGAGCTCTCCTCAGCCCCCGGCCGGAGACTCCTCATCTCTCTCTCGAGCTGCCCCAGACCCCAGGACACTTCCTTGGCCCCTTCTCCACTTCATCGGCATGTGTCTCATGTGTCTCGCAGCAGCTCTCCAAGAGGAGGCAAGGGTATCAGGTTTCTGAGACCCCGCACGCTGGAGCGCATCTTCAGTCCACCCCCACGCTCCGTCACATGCGGGCGGCCGAAGACTCGCAGATGTCTTCTCAGGAGTGTGAAGGCAAAACCTGTCTGCCATTAACTGGTGCTACTGTTAAGAAAACTCAATACCCTTTTAATAGTTCTTTAAAAATTACTGTTACATCTACAGTGAAATACGTAGACCTTAAGCAGGTAACTGGAGTCCTGACAAACATATGTCCACATGACCACAATCGAGATACAGAGAGTTCCTCAGACTCCTCTCCTGGCAGTCCCTCCTGCCCCCACCTCTCCAGCAAGACTGTGCTGATTCTGTCACCATAGGTCCGTGTTGCCTGTTCTTGGACTTCATATAAATGGTGTCCCATAGGATGTACTGTTTTGTGTCTAACTTATTCCATTTTACATGTTCTTGAAATTCCTTGATGCTATTCATTCGAGTAGTCTGTTCCACTGTACTAATTCGAATGCCATATTATTTTGTCTTTTTTCTCTGAACACTTGAAGGATTTATCTCCCTTTAACCGAGATACGATTTATGATAATAATAAGCTCTGGTGGAACCTGTACTTTTAACCATCCACTGGGAGTGTGGCGGCCGGCTCAGTATGGAAACTCACAGTTCTCCAGGTTTGGGGAAAGCTCTCGAATGATCTCGCTGATGGCATCCTTGCCCATCTTCTATGCTCTCTATTTGCAATGCCAACTATTTATGGATGTTGACCTTGACCTGGTCCTCTGAATTTCTTGCCTTTCCCATTCCATTATCTTTTTCCTACTGCTCCACGTCTTGGTGCACTTACTCAATTCTGTCTCCACGCCGTTATGGCTTTTTATTTCTGTAAATCATATAACTACCTTTTTTTGAGAGTTGTATTTTAAAGTTAATTTTCCAGGTACTTTTGACATCTGCAATTTCCTTTTAAATATCATTTTGTTTTTCTTTTATGACTATAATATCTTCTCTCACTAAGAATATTTACAAGAATCTTAATTTTTCTTTTCCATGCAAAAAAACCTGTATCCAAGTTTTTTTCTTCCCCGTTGATTTGGTCTTTGCCTTCCACACTAGATGCTTCCTTCCACATATCCGAGTGGTTCTTAGTAATATGCTCACACCTAAGTGGAACCCAAAAGGCTGATTAGCCCCTGCACACATGTGGAGCCTCACCATGGTCAGCACTTCAGGTGATCTGACTGCGCCATTTCTTTGTACAATCCTTAATGAATGTATCTTTATTTTAGGCCTTTCCTCTGGGTTCTTCAGAGTCCCTAGAGAAGACACTTCTAATCTCTGACCTGGAAAATGCAGTGTTTACTACCTCCCATTTTCCCCTCGTCTCCCTGACCTTCGCACAGGACCCCTGCCCTCAGTGAAGCCTGGGGTTCCCTAGACCAGTTTTGTCTTACCTTTTTCAAAGGGTAAATGTGGAGAGAGGGGAGGACAAGACAAACAACCTTCATGGGGTCTTTTTAACAAGAGTCCTTCAGACACACTGTGTTCAGTCCCACTTTCGCCGCTACACTCCCAGATATAACTGATGCGTGCACGCCCCATCTTAACGCAGCTGCGCAGTAAAGCTCAGTTTCTTTCTTAGCTTTCTTTCCCCAAAGGAGCTTACAATTTAGGTTTCACGGGTGTGCTAAAGCAGTTATCATTTTCCAGCATTTTGCTGGTTCTCCCATTCCTTGTACTTGTGGGATTTGGCTGTTTTTGACAATACCCTTTTACTAGGATTTTAGGAGTGTGCACAGTTAACTGTGTTTATTCAATCCACTTATCTTGAACTTAAAACGCTACATGAATTCTATATGTTCATTAGTAAGATATTCCAAACTGCCCAATATATTTTAGTCAAAAATGTCACTAAGTTACTAATAACCAGAGTAATTCAAGCATATTCTCCACATATGAGGACTCATTTTAAACCAACCAAAAATTAAGTTTAATGAGATCGCTTTTATGATTTTATAAAGACATTATCGAGAGGCCTAATAAACTTTATTTTCTATTCTTTCTTCTTCCTCTTCTTTTTCAAAATATAGAAAATAATAAGTCAATTTAAAATGGGATTTTAGACACACCGCCAGGTAGTCCTTATTAAAATAATGATAAACCTTGCTTCAAACATTTCAAGTGCCTGATGCACAGGGAGTCAACAAAAACTAAACTAAATAGCTACATAACACTAAGAAATGTATCAAAGAGGTCTATTCTAAAATATACAGACACTTCGAAAGTTCTATTCCCCTCTGTATTCTATTTTGAGAACTTGGTGTGCCTCAGGGGTTAGGAAAATACAGTGCGGGGCCAAACCTGGCCGTACCTGCTTCTGTAAATCTACCTGGCACAGAGCTGTGTCCATTTGTTTACATACTGGCTATGGCTGCTTGCCAGCTGCAGTGACAGAGCAGAGTGGCTGTGACACACTGGATGTCCCACGAAGCCTAAATCATTCATCTGGCTCTTTACAGAAGAAGCTTCCTGACCATTCCCCCCTCCGCCCAGTCTATATTAAAGGGTTTATTTATTCTACAAAAGCTGCTCTGACCACTTCCTGTCTGTATTAAAAGCAAATAAATTAAAACGTTTTATTCTAGAAACAACTTTCTTAAAACTTTTTTATAATAAACTGAAAATACTTGAAAAAATTATAGCCAAATAAATGCTTCTTTCTCCCAGCGGACGTGACACAGACGCTCGACTCTGCATGCACAGAGACCTGGTGCCAAACGACCCGCCCCCGACGGTCTTCTCGCCCCCACCAGGAGAGCTCCTTCCCCACTCTGTGGGCTACGTTCCCTCTACTGCAACTGAAGAGAACATCCTGTTTTCTGGACCAAGCACTCTTTTCCTCTCTCCTTTCTTCTGTTGACTTTTCATTACCTCATTTCCCTTCTGAAAGTCTTTAGCACAGATTTTCTGAACATCCCACTGTTAAAGCAACATACCCAAATTGAGAAGTTGATTGAAACTCTGGCAGAGCAGCATGACAGAGGAAAAAAGCGGTAAAATTACCCAAGGAGTTAATGAATACCTAGGTACAGTCTTCACAGAACACAGTCACACACTGTGTACACTGTCTGCCTTTAGCCACGCAGCAGTGCACCTTTACTTTGACAAAAGTTCAGAATAGCTCTACCAGTGAAGTCACTTCCCCTAACAGCAGTAACGTTATTCAGACAAAAGCAGAGGAGAGTGGTAAACAGGTTAAAAAATCCTCAATGTCTGTAAAAAGAGAAATTTACACTTATGCTTGAGCACTTGAATACCGAAGAATAACTACCTGAAAAAGCAGCACATAACTCAGAAATAACGTAAGAAACTATAAAAGCATTTCACTGAAGATGAAGTTATTTTGATACAGGTTTTTAAAGAATTACGAAGAGCAACTATCCCTTTTTTCCATTAACCACTAGCTTGAAAGCCTCCATTTAAAAAAGATATTTCTGGGCACATGAGGACTCACTACACAAGTCTCTCTACTCCTGTGTAATCGCTGACATTCTCCGCGATGGTCCCGGCACCCGCGGCAGAGCAGACTGTGGTCTTCAACCACGGCCTGGCTCCTGCCCACACACTGCAGGCACCGAAGCAGATTACACAGTGGGGGAAATAAAATAATAAAGATGTTTAAGTCAAAGAAAAAGAGAAGCTCCAGTTGTAGTTAATAATTAAAAACAAGGCACCTAGTTGGAGCACTGTCCTGATGAGCCAGGGCTGTGGTCCCACCCCCGTCTGGCACACACAACAACCAATAAATGCATAAATAAGTGGAGCAACAATCAGTGTTTCTCTCTCAGATCAATACATTTTTTTTAACTTTTAAAAAAACAAGATACTGATACATATTAAAAAGGGAGAACTGTAAAGGGAAATATGAATTCACTTTGGACCAAGAAGAATTCACTTGACTACCCAGAGAGCTGCCTCAAAGAGGGGAGCACAGAGTGAGCGATTAAAAATCCATACTGGCCCTGACCAGTGTGGCTCAGTTGGTTGGGTGTTGTTCCACAAAGCAAAAGGTCACAGGTTCGATCCCAGGTCAGGGCATGCAGCTGGGTTGCGGGTTCAGTCCCTAGTTGGAGCACATACAGGAGGCAACCAGTCGATGTTTCTCTCTCACATGAATGTTTCCCTCCCTCTTCCTCCCTCCCTTCCCTCTTCTCTAAATATAAATAAAATCTTTCTTAAAACTTCATATTGAAGAACACTTTGACAGCAAGGTGAATATTACCTAATTTAAGCCTTTAGTTTTCCAATGATAATTAAATTTGTCTTTTTTTAAACAATCATCTACCTTAGAGGAAATGTTTTCAAAACAAAATATGAGTGGTCAATGTAAGTCCAGAAGTTCAATGCCTGCCACTTTCTTCACTATCTAATTAAGATCTTAGAAAAATATAATTGGAAAAAAACTGCTTGGATTTATGCATACCTCTTTCTTCCTCATGTTTTTTGGCAGATGCACTTTTAGGTCTTCCTCTTCCTCGTCTGATATGATCTGAATGGCTGTTACTTCGAGACCTCTTTCTGTTTTCTAAGTCCTTATTTCCTGTAGAATTCATCTTCTCTCTCCTAACTCTCTCTGTGCGCCTCCTCTTGGCCTCATGCTTGTTTTCTGTATGGATGAATAAAAGTGATACATTTTAGGGCTTAGCAAGAACTGTTTGCCCGAGTCTTACTCTCTTCTTTTTTCTTTCTAAAGCACTGGAGTTTGCTGCCTGGCAAATTTTATTAAACTATGGTACGACCATGACATCTATGCATCTCACATCACATGGGAAAAAATTCAACAGAATGTAGATAACCCACATTCACACTCTAGGTAGGAGGAGCCTTGTAATGGGAGACATTGCTCTACTTGGCACCTCTAATTTCAGCCCCTACAACTCTGCACAATACCACAGTAATTTTTCTGCCTTTTCCTCTCTGCTTCCAAGTTAAAAAATGGTGCAGTATTAGAAAAGGGAAAAAAAATCCTTTCTTCTTTGCCACTACCCAAATTACAGATTGAAATACATCAAATATTCAGAAGCAAAATGGACCTTAACCACAATGTATTAAGGTTATCAGTAAAAAGCAAACAGAAAGCATCCACAGAAAATATGAAAACACTAGAAAAGTAAGTAGTTTTCCCTTTAGCCACAGACAGGGGCAATTCTAAGAACATGCTGATCCCTAAGTAAAACAGCGACAGAGGAACTTTACTCAACATGGTGATGTAATTACCACAAAAAACCACCCTCTCCAAAAAAATCAAAATGGTGGGCAAGACAGGCAAAATTTTTTAAAAAACAAAAACTTGCTTTAACACATATCTGAACTCAAAAGTAAAAAAAGAAGATTCCTAAAAATCACATGGAAAAGAAGAAAAACAAAAAGAAAGAAACGTCACATCCCCAAAACTGAAGGGAACAAGTTAAAAGAATGAACGTGAGCATGCTTATTAGGCCACTGTAAAATCTTTTAAAATTTTAAATAAAACAGAAATAGTTATTTTCAAATACCATATCCTTGAAGAATTACTTAATTCTAAATCTCAGATTATACCATATGATACAAGAACATTTATTTATTCCAGACTATAAGTTATCAAAGACAACCAGGCTCTTGTTGAAAGACACAAGGGCCAAAGACCCTATGCACCCCAATGTTCATAGCAGCACGATTTACAATAGCCAAGACTTAGAAGCAACCTAGGTGCCCGTCAGTAAATGAGTGGATAAAAAAATTATGGTACATATACACAATGGAATTCTATGCAGCAGAAAGAAAGAAGGAGCTCCTACCCTTTGCAACAGCATGGATGGAACTGGAAAGCATTATGCTGAGTGAAATAAGCCAGGTGGTGAAAGACAAATACCATATAATCTCACCTTTAACAGGAAGCTAAACAACAAAACAAACAAGCAAGCAAAATAAAAACAAAGACACTAAAATGGGGGGGGGGGGGACAGCGACCAGAGGGGAGGGAATTCAAGGGGAAATAAGGGAGGGATTTAGAGGAACAAGTATAAAGGACACAGGGACAATAACTATGGGGGGTGGAAATGGGAGGGAGGTGGGGAGCACGGGGCGAGGTGGGCTGGGATGGGAGAAATAGACAGAAAACTGTACTTGAAAAATAATTAAATTAAAAAAAGAATATAAAAAAAAAAAGACACCAGGGCTAACTTAAAGAGGCTCCCACTGACCATTCTGGGACGGTACGAACATCAATAAAAAATAGTAACCATTATAAATTAAAGTATATCAAATAAATATACTTAAACCACATGACAACATTAAATACACAAACAAAAGCAAAAACTACTTGGCCACTATAGGAAGATGCTAAAGAACTCACTATTTTGAAAACTTAAAAGGGAAAGAATAAAGCATTCGTCCTGCCTTTTCTATTGAATAACCACTCAACGAACAACCAAAGGACAGATAGAAGTTTCTCATTTTAGAAGGTACTACAGCTAAAAATGACGAAGGAATGATAAGAGTATCACCATTTTAAACCTGAAATGAACAAAAGAATCTAAGTGCTAAATATCACGTACAAAATACTATACATAAAAATTAACTCAAAGAATCGCAGACCTAAATGTAACAGCTAGAACTGTATTTAATACTTAGGAAAAAAAGGGAAAAACTTGATGACATTGGATTTGGCAATAATTCCTTAGATATGGCACCAAAATGATAGGCAACAAAAGAAAAAACAGACAATTTGGACTTTATCAAAATTAAAAACTTTTGTGCATTAAATGACATGATCAGTAGAGTAAAAATGCAAATCAGAAATGGGACAAAAAAATCTGTAAATACAAATGAGGGGTTAATATCCAGAATAAGAAGAACTGCTACAACTCAACAACAAAAACCAACCCAATTCAAAAATGCACAAAGAACTTGAACAGACATATAAAAAGATGTTCAACATCAGTAATCATTAGGGAAATTCAAACCTAAATCACAAGATATCACCTGATACCCCTGAGAATGGCTAGTATCAAAAGCCCACAAGATAACATGTGTTAGGATGCGGAGAAACCGGAACTTTCGTGCACTGCCGGCAGTGATGTGAAACAGGGCAGCCACTGTGGGAAATGTGGCAGCTCCTCAGAACGTGACCGAGAGTGACCACACGATGCGGAAATTCCACTTCTGGGTATACAGCCAAAAGAAACGACGACAGGGAATCCAACAGATACTTGTGCACCCAATTTCACAGCAGCATTATTCACAAAGCCGAAAGGCAGAAGCAGCTCCAATGTCCATCAAGGTATGAATAAACAAAGTAATATTCACAAAGGAACTTCTAGCACATGCTACAACACAGGGGAACTTTAAAAACAGCAGGCCAACTGAAACGAGTCAGACGTGACAGGACAAACACCGTCTGATTCCGGTTCCAGAAGGAACCACGGCAGTAACATTCACGGGCACAGAGAACGGGGGTCCCTGGGGTGGGGAGGAGGGACGTGGAGCTGCTGTGTGATGGGTGCAGGGCATCTGTTCGGGGGGAACAGAAGGGCTCTGGAGATGGATGGTGGCGAGAACTAAGTACATGATATGAGTGGGCTTAATGTCACTGAACTTCCAGTGATTAAAATACTGAATTTTGTCCTGTCAATTTCACCACGATAAAAGACAGAAAAAAAATCAGATTTGATGAAAAAGAAACCAGAAAACAAGATGAACTGCTAAAAACTGAAGTGCAAAAGACATACTAAATAACTGACGATGACTGCAGACCGAATTATAAACCTAGGAAGGGAAATCAATGAAATTTCCTAGAACAAAGCAGAAAAAGAAAATATGTGACAGTAATATGTGACAAAATATGTGAAGGGAAATGAGAGAACACTTTAAGAAATCTACTAGTACTCATCTATGACAGCACTGCTAATTACCTACCCAATATCCATTCTCCCCTCTTCATTAAGAATAGATCCTGGGGCCTGGCTGGTGTAGTTCAGTGGATTGAGCGCAGGCCTGCAAACCACATGATCACAGTTCAACTCCCAGTCAGGGCACATGCCTGGGTTGCAGGCCAGTTCCCAGCTGGGGACTCACAAGAAGCAACCATACACTGATGTTTCTCTCCTTCTCTCCTTCCCTTCCCCTCTAAAGATAAATAAATAAAATCTTAAAATAAAAAAAAAAAAAGAATAGATCCTGTTCTGTTCAACACTGCAATGTGCCCTGCTAAAATACACACATTCCCAAAAAGAGGAAATGAAAACAAAAATAAATAAAACACATGCATGTTCCAAGACTCCTGCAGCTGAAGTGGCCATGGAATTTAGTTCTGGCCAACGATATGTAAGTGGAATTGAGTAAGGTTTCCAGAAAGGCTTTTTAAGGGGAATAGAATGGCTGTCATGCCCCTCGCCCCTCTGTCCTTCCCCCTTCTTCCTGCTTGGAAAGCTTAGGGGGTCTTGGAGGTGCCACAGCTACCCCATGGCGGGATGAACACCTCTGGCCATGGAAGAGAGAGAAGAGCTGGGGCTTGGTGCCGTCAGCAGGCCACCGGCAGTGGAGCGCCAGCTTCTGCTCTCTCCACTGATGGGCCCCAGTCAGCGGGCTGACACTGTCCAGACCAGTGTCAGTCAGGTTCATTGTGGAGGCCATCCTCCTATACTATACCGTTCAGGAAGTGTGTCAGAAGGAAAAAAAGAGAACGGGGAAAAATAAATAATAGGTAAAAACTGTAAAAACTGCCCTAAGCTGAATCCTCGAGCCTCTGATTGGAAGGACATAATGCCGAGGAAGAAGAACATTTAAGTGTGAGTGCAAAGTAGAGGCATTCTCCACATGAGAGATGGGAAATGTACACCACATGCCTGTCCTGAAAAGTTTTCCAGGTCTGAAACAATTTTTGCAAAATGTGTTCCAGAAATAAAAACATACGGGTTAAAAAAAATGGAATCTAAGAACAAGTAGGATTATCCTGGAAGACAATGGAAAGAAATCTGAGTATCACTGACAGCTGTGCCAAGCTCCTAAAACCAGTCTTCATGAGAAGTCAGAGGACTCTATTCAAAAAGGCCTTAAAGATGAATAGAGATCATTATAAAAACTCTATGATTAAGAACGTAAAAGTACAGGCACAGAGATAAAAAATAGTTTTTCATCAAAGAGCGAAATAAAAATGGTATGACAGCCATGTTCCACCCTGTAGCAATTTCAAGTGATGAGCATGTAGGAAACAATGTTTTCTGAAACAATAAAACCAAACCTTCATTGTCAAGTATTCAGAATTGAGGATCCCTGATTACTGAATGAACGATAAATCATTTTGGGTTTATAAAAAGATACTGGCAATAACATTTCTCCATTTTTTTTCCTTAACTGAAAATGAATGTCATTTATAGACTTCTTTGCTTACTTATTAGCCTTTGCCTGTTAATTTCCATATTGGATTGTTTATTTACATATATTTTCAGGTAGACAAAGTTCCATATATTTCTAGTGTCCTACCTTCCAATTTCTATGTATGTTATAAAGATATAAAAATATTAAGTATAGCCCTGGCTCATGTGGCTCAGTAGATTGAGTGCTGGCCTGAGAAGCAAGGGGTCTTGGGTTCAATTCCCAGCCAGGTCCTGGGCCACAGTGGAGGGG